ATCACGCGAAGCGCAACAAGTTCACTAGTTATTGTAAAATTTCTATAAAAATTCGAGTCACCTTTTTCTAGCCTCCGTTGCACGTAGGGGTGCTTAATATATATTTACGCTTAACTGTTCGGTTTATCGGTTATGGGTTTATAAATATAGTAATTTGCTAGCCATTCAATAAGACATCAGGCAGATAAATATCAGATTAGCGATTATTGGGCGGGTTATCGGCTAAATCAAATAGACAATAAAAAAAATAGAGAAGAATTTGTCCAGACTTAAGACTTTTAACCGTAGTGAATTTCAACAAATTCAACTGGACATTCATTTTTTAAGATCACTCTTAAAGACGCTAGACGAGATTCCGGTGGAATTTTGGAAGTGTGTGGGAAGAGCAGGTTTGGAGTGGTTGACTAGGTTGTTTAATATTATTTTTAAGGCGAAGAGGATGCCGGATGAGTGGAGGTGGAGTTCGGTGGTTCCATTGTATAAGAACAAAGGTGATATCCAGAGTTGTAACAATTATAGGGGTATCAAATTACTAAGTCATATCATGAAAGTGTGGGAGAGGGTGGTTGAAGTGAGGGTGAGGATGACAGTGTCTGTATCTAACAACCAGTTCGGGTTCATGCCGGGTCGTTCGACTACAGAAGCTATACACCTAGTTAGGAGGTTGGTGGAACTGTATAGAGAGAGGAAGAAGGATCTGCACATGGTGTTTATTGACCTAGAGAAAGCGTATGACAAGGTTCCTAGAGAAGTTCTCTGGAGATGCCTGGAGGCAAAAGGTGTGTCGGTTCCCTACATTATGGCGATTAAGGACATGTATGATGGGGCTAAGACCCGAGTTAGGACAGTAGGAGGCGACTCGGAGCATTTTTCGATTGTAATGGGGTTACACCAAGGTTCTACACTCAGTCCGTTCTTATTCGCGCTAGTGATGGACGTGTTAACACACCATATTCAAGGGGAGTGCCATGGTGCATGCTATTCGCCGATGATATAGTTCTGATTGATGAGTCGCGAGTCGGTGTTAACGAGAGGCTGGAGCTTTGGAGACAGGCTTTTGAGTCTAAGGGTTTCAAGCTAAGCAGGACGAAGACGGAATACTTGGAGTGTAAGTTCAGCGTTGAGCCGGGGGAAGTGGTCGTGGATGTGAGGCTTGAATCACAGGTCATCCCGAGTAGAGGCAGTTTCAAATACCTTGGTTCGATTATCCAGGGGGGAGGGGAGATCGATAAGGATATGACACACCGTATTGGGGTATGATGGATGAAGTGGAGATTAGCATCTAGAGTCCTGTATAACAAGAGAGTACCACCGATACTCAAAGGTAAGTTCTATAAAGTGGTGGTTAGACCAGCCATGATGTATGGGGCTGAGTGTTGACCCGTTAAGAACTCCCATATCCAGAAGATGAAAGTAGCAGAAATAAGGATGTTAAGGTGGATGTGCGAGCACACTATGATAGATAAGATTAGGAATGATGATATTCGGGAGAAAGTGCACGTGGATCCCATTGATGACAAGATGCGGGAAGCGAGGCTTAGATGGTTCGGACATGTTCAGAAGAGAAGTCTAGATACTCCAGTACGGAGGTGTGAGCGGCTGGTTGTGGAGGGCACGAGAAGAGGTAGAGGGCGGCCTAAGAAGTATTGGGGAGAGGTGATTAGGCAGGATATGGCGAGGCTCCAGATTTTCGAGGACATGACACTTGATAGGAAAATGTGGAGGTCGAGTATTAGGGTTGTAGGTTAGGAGGTAGTTGAGTTTTGCCTTACTTCGTACCATTGTGAGCCTAGCCAGGTAGGAGTTTTGTCTAATATAGCTAGTGGCAATGTTGTGTCTTACTATTTCACTTTTCAGTGCAGGTCCTATTTACTAGCTATCGCTTTTGCTTTGCATCTTTCTTCTGAATTTCATGGTGTTCCTATTTTTCCTATGATTGTTGTGGTGATACTAATATCCTTTTATCCTTTTGTCTTTTTGTTTTCTTGAGCCGAGGGTCTTTCGGAAACAGCCTCTCTACTCCTTCAGGGCAGGGGTAAGGTCTACGTACACACTACCCTCCCCAAACCCCACTACAAGAAATATATAATACGACGACATTATATAAATGTCGCTATAAGCCACATAAATATCATAAAATTATTTACCGACATTTATTTTATATTTACATTAAATGTCGAAAATTTTGCGATATTTAAATAAATGTCGGTAAATAACTAACGACATTTATTTATGGGGCCTATCAAATGTCAATAATTTGAGCTCTTGACTTATCTTATTTGCGACATATATAGAAATGTTATAAATTTTCGAGATATTATTTGAATATTGAAATCATTATTGATATATATGGTAAAGATTAGAAATCGAGAAATTATCATAAATGCCAAAAATTAGTCCCTTTTTATTTTTCTATGTATTATAAAAAGTAATCTATCAACTGTGATTGACTTTACAATAACATAAATATTTTTATTCATTGCAAAACTTTCAAGATTCATACACTACATACAATTCAAATAATCATAACATTGACCCCAAAAAGATCGTAATGATATTGTTCCCTTGAGATTTACAAAAACGCCAATGCACTTCAAAGCTTCGTTATCCATGTGTCTTTCTGAGTCCATGCCTTTACCATGTCAAAATTCCTTCATATTAGTTGATCTCACAACCTTCAAAAATACGTGTAACCAAGATCTAAAATTGAAAAGGGAAAAAAAGGCTATCACTAATTGATTAAGTGAAAGGGCAAGTAGCAAAACAACATTAAGGCCATTTTATCTCATATGTAGTAACTGTAACTATGTTTGCAAGAAATTCACCTACACAAAGTAAATTGAAATAAACAATAAAGACAGAAAATCAATGCTTTTGATCAGAATACCACAAATCTCATTTATCTCGAAAAAGAAAAGGCCAAACTTATAGAAAACGAGTTAGAGTTGATGAACCTGATTAGAAATCGCCACTCCGACAACAGGTATGGCGGAAATTTCAGTTCCGGCTAGCGGTACTTCTAGGTTTTGCAACGAAACAAAGATTAAAAAAGGAAATCTCCAGCCTATAGATTGCAAATCTAGGGCTATGAACATAACAACGAAAAGCTGCCAGAAACAAGACATAGAAGATTGAGTTATAAATCTAAAATTAAGGAAAATCTTACCCGCCTATTGGGATCAAAACCAGCGAAAGAAGTCGAGATAAACTGATAATGGAGATTTTAGAGGTTGTGGCCTAAGACTTGAAGAGTTCTTAAGGAAATAGAGTTTGAATATTTTTAACTTTCTTTTGGAATTTTATAAAAAGAAAAGAAAGCCCAAGTAAGACTAATCGTCTCCCGAAATTATTTTTTCTTCTTGGCAAATAATGTTTTTTGACATTTATTACAAATGGTGCTAACTAAATGTAGTTGTATTTCTAATAATGTGACATTTGAATAAAATGTCAAAATGTTTGCTGATATTTTTCCTAAACGTCGGTATTTTTGTGATATTTTTTTAACAAATGTCAATAAATTAACTATTCACCGACATTTATTGTAAGTGTCATCAAATAAATGTTGTCTTATCTCATATTTTCTGTAGTGCTTTATTAGTGAATTTTACTGGGATTGTTATTGTTGTTGTACTTTTAAGGACGCTGCCAAGTGCCGTGATGTTGATCTTTTTCTAGCTCCATTAACCTAGGTCTTGGACTTCATGATAATCCATAAAACATGACTAGCTGAGCAAATATTTAAATATTCTAGGAAGAAAAGTTTTTGAACCTTACATGTTCTATGCCAAGAGACGACTGCTGCAGGTTGTTACTCCTAGTGTTTGAATTGAGAAATTAGGAATTTTGGTTTCAAATATTACTTTATATATATATATATGGGCAAAAGTATAAATATAAAAATTATTAACGAGTTAACGGTTTATCTGATAAGAAAATTGAGTAATCTGCCTTCAAATCGTTAAATCGTTAATTATAAAATTTCAATCTGTTCATCAAACATTACCTCGATAATCCGATACCAATAATCTAATACACCATTTTACGGTTCGATTAACGATTACAGTTTGGATTTGAACCGTCCTAGTTACACAACACACTGTTTTATTCAAATATATATAGGTTGATGGTACTTGAGATGGTTTCCAACATTTCATTGACCCTTATGTCTTGTCTAATCATCTGCTAAAAGACTATGCAAGGGGCTTAATCCGCCTCTGATGAGTCTAGAGTGAGAATCAACAATATAAGTTACTCCGTTTCACGATAAGTGTTTTTTTTTTTTTTTTTTTTTTTTTTTTTTTTGGGATATTTTTACATATTAAGAAATTCATATTTTAATATTAATTAATAATGAAATTGACCACATTAACCTTTAATATCTATTCACATAAACATTCCTAACACATACTCCAATATTATTTACTCCAAGGGCAATGTAAGAAAAAAAAATTTAATTCATTCTTAAAATCTGAAAAAATCACTTATTTTGGATCATAAAAAAGGCCAAAAAAATACTTATTATGGACCAAAGAGAGTAATATATAATGCAAATCTCAAAGTTTCTCCTCTCGATTGGATGGGCTTATGTCGCTAGAAAGGTAGGTGAGAAAAAGTTCCAATCTTTGTACATGGCAATTCGAGATGAACTCCTTCCCTGCTGAAAATACCATACTCCTTCCATGCTAAATCGTTTCTGTTTCAACATTCATCTTTTTTCTTGTGGACAGTCAAGTAGAATTTTATGTGTCTGTGGACAAATTAAAACAAATGAAATTGAAGGAGCAGCTCATTTTGAGTGATAAGAGAAATTGTCAAAAGTAGGAAACGTTTCACTTGGAGTAGGACTAGGACTAGTCAGTAAAATACCTTAGAATAACGGCTATATTATACCAGATGCATACCGTAGCAAGGGAGCCCGCGACTACCAACGGTCACTTTACTTTTAACTTTTCTAATTTCTAATAAACACAACGTTTAGTTTCACTTCCTATATATCTGTGCCAACATTCCCTTCATGTTCATCGCACATTAATTATCAGCCAAAACTTCAAGATTTATCTATTAATTTCCTGCTAATTTCCGGGCCATCGGAATATTCAGATATTCTGTTCTTTCTCATTTTATTGCGCACTATGTCTAAATTATTTTCTACTGCTGTTCTTCTATTTTTCGTATTAAATTCCGGTGGGGCTCAAATTACAAATGCACCTTCTCAAGCCCCAATATCTTCTCCTTCTAAATCGCCGCCGGCAAAATCTCACGTCCCGGTTTCTTCTCCGGCCTCTACACCCGCGAAGTCTCCGGTATCTTCGTCCTCGACTCCTAAATCCAGTCCATCTACTTCGCCGGTTCAGTCTCCAATGGCGACTTCTCCAGCGACTACCATTTCGCCCGCACTCACTCCATCTATGGCGACTCCTTCGCCAGTAGCAACTCCGGTGACTACTCCGGCATATTCGCCGGCGGTAGCTGAGGTTCCGGCGAAATCCTCAAGCATTCCTTCAAGTTCAGCAACTCCATCCGAATCACCGGGAATGTTTCCTTCTACCGGTAGCGAACCAATGTCGGCGCCGGCGAGTTTATCGCCGGAGACTTCACAGGGTCCAGTTGCTGATGATACTTCCGCTGCAATTTCAATTCTCGAGTTGCCGATTGTTCTAAGTGGGCTTGCTGTTTGGGCTGCCCTATCATTTTGAATGCCTCCGGCCCAATACTGCGCACTACCACATTTTGAAATACTGTTATTGAGGCTATCACAATTGTTGTAATTTTTTAACACTGATATTTCTAATTCAATGTACTGTACTGTTTTTTTATTACTGCTCATGATTTATATATATAGTTAAATTCGAATTCTTAATACTCTTACTTTCATTTAAGATACCTTTATTATTAACTTAATTTAATATTTTATACATCTAAAATTGCTAAACGACGAGTACTTTTTTCTTCCCATCGCAAACTATAAAACAAACTTGCTTAAATGTTAATCTTCTTAGCTTTTCACACATATAATGTGAAAACAAAAGATAAGTTCTCATCCCTCAATTCTCAAACTATTTGTTTTAGTAATTAAGTTAAAAATACTAATGCTGAAATAAAATTTAACATTATTAATGTACTTTTACATTATAGGTACTCTAGTTTAACTAGTTATAGGTAGTGGTGCCAAATAAGGTGGTTTGGTCGGATTTGGGCGGGTTAAAAATGGGTTGGGTCAACCCGCCCATATTTCATACAGGTCCAAAACGACTTGGGTGTCAAATGGGCGGGTTGAGTTCTTGAGGAAAATATTTTCTAAAACAATTTAAGCTAACCTAACATGAAAAAATTGGACAATATTTTTGAAAAAATATTTTCCTACATACCAAAGCATACCCTTAATGTACCATTGAGTACCTCTTTATCGAAAGTGATATATTACAAGTGGGAAAAAATATTCTCTTTCTTATAAGTTGGCTAAGAAGAGGCAATGCTAGCAGTCACGGCGGCCATGACTGCAGCTTTTAGTCATTTGTATGAGGAACTCGAGGGCCGAGTTGGGGATAAGAGGTTGTTCAAGTTAGCCAAGGTACGAGAAAAGAAGGCGCGTGACTTGGATCAAGTGATGTGCATCAAGGACGAAGAAGGTAGAGTTTTGTTGGATGAGGGGTTTATCCGTCAGAGATGGCAGACCTACTTCCATAGTCTCTTCAACGAGGAGTGGGACAGGAGCATTGTATTGGGTTATTTGGAACTCCTAGGGAGTCGTTATAACTTTGGGTATTGTAGGCGGATTAGAGTTGATAAAGTTGAGGGGGTTTTGCGTAAGATGAGCACGGGCAAAGCGACCGAGCCGGATGAAATTTCGATGGAGTTTTGGAAGAGCGCGGGCAAACCAGGCTTAGAGTGGCTCACTAAGTTATTTAATGTCATTTTTAGAATGAAGAAGATGCCCAAAGAGTAGAGGTGGAGCACGATGGTTCTTGTATACAAGAACAAAGGTGATATCCAAAATTGCAATAACTACCGGGGTATCAAGCTACTTATCCATACTATGAAAGTATGGGAGAGAGTGGTAGAGCTAGGGGTGAGGAGGAGTGTGTCTATTTCCAAGAACCAGTTCCAGTTTATGCCGGGGCGTTCGACTACAGAAGCTATCCACCTTGTTAGAAGATTGATGGAGCAGTATAGGGAGAGAAAGAAGGACTTGTATATGGTGTTCATCGACTTAGAAAATGCGTACGCTAAAGTTCTGAGGGAGGTTTTGTGGAGATATTTGGAGGCTAGAGATGTACCGGTTGCCTACGTTAGGTTTATTAAGGATATGTGTGATGAAGTAAAGACCCGAGTGAGGAAAGTGAGTGGGGACTCGGACCATTTTTCGGTTATGATGGGGTTGCATCAGGGGTCGGCACTCAACCCTTTTTTGTTTGCTCTGGTGATGGACGTATTGATGTGCCACATCCAAGGGGAGGTGCCGTGGTGTATGCTATTTGCAGATGATATTGTATTGATTGATGAGATGTGAGACGGGGTGAATGCGCAATTAGAGGTATGGAGGCAGACCGTGGAATCTAAAGGTTTCAAGTTGAGCAGGACCAAGACAAAATACTTGAAGTGTAAGTTCGGTGGAGAGACTCAAGGAGGGGAGAAGGAGGTGAGGCTGGACTCATAGGTCATCCCTATGAGAGGGAGTTTTAAGTACCTTGAATCTATTATTCAGGAGGTGGAGAGATTGATGAAGATGTCACTCATTATATTGGGGCGGGATGGATGAAATTGAGACTCGCTTCGGGTGTTTTGGGTGACAAAAATGTACCACCGAAACTTAAGGGTAAGTTCTACAGAGTGGCGGTCAGACCAACGATATTGTATGGGGCTGAGTGTTGGCCAGTCAAGATCGCTCATGTCCAGAAGATGAAGATAGCAGAGATGAAGATGTTGAAATGGATGTGCGGGCACGCCAGATTTGATAGGATCAGAAATGAGGTTATTCGCGACAAGGTAGGTGTGACCCTTATTGTGGACAAGATGCGGGAAGCGCGACTTAGGTGGTTTGGTCATGTGAGGAGGAGGAGCACAGACGCCCCGGTGAGAAGGTGTGAGAGGTTGACATTTGAGGGCCTACGGAGAGGTAGAGGTAGGCCAAAGAAGAGGTGGGGAGAGGTGATTAAGCAAGACATGGCGCAACTTCAGCTAACCGAGGACATGACCCTTGATAGGAAGGTATGGAGTTCGAGAATTAAGGTAGTAGAGTAGGTAGTCTAGAGTGTTCATAACAGTAGTATTGGCACGCAGTCTCGCTTTCTGTTGGTAGTAGATTTTTATGACTAACTGTTGTTTTCTTTCGTTGTTGATCACTTTACTCTATTGTTGTTTTTATTCTGCTTTTATATGGCTTTTTGGTACTATCGCTTCTTGTCTATATTTTCATTAATATAGTGCTTATGCTTTCCTAAGTCGAGGATCTATTGAAAACAACCTCTCTATCCTCATAAGGTAGGGGTAAAGTCTGCGTACACACTACCCTCCCCAAACCCCACGGTGTAGGATAATATTGGGTATGTTGTTGTTGTTGTTTCTTAACATGTACTCTTCAAGAACAAATGAAAAACTATACAAATTTGCTTTTACTCCTTAAACTATTTTTGGTATTCAAGTATGCATCTAGAAAGAACAAGGACGCCAAATAATACTCTCTCCGTTTCAATTTATGTGAACCTATTTCTTTTTTAGTCCGTGCAAAAAAGAGTGACCCTTTCCTTATTTGGAAATAATTTACCGTTATACAATGATTTATAACCACAAAAAAAATATGCGCCTCATTTTACACCACAAGTTCAAAAGTCTTCTCTCTTTTCTTAAACTTCGTACCCAGTCAAATGAGTTCACATAAATTAAAATGGATGGAGTAGTAAACAGTACTTACAATGTTTAGAAGGAAAAAAAATAAAAAAAATACTCACATAGTCAACTACAGTGAGAAGAAACATACGAAGGAAGAGGAGTTGGAATACCTTTATAGCATTTTCAGTTTAAAAAATGATATCATGTATTTTGAGTGAGCAAAGTTGGAAGATAATTCACTAGGCTAACCCATATTTCTACGGGTTGATATGGGTTAAAGCCCAAATTTTATCCAACTTAAATATCACTCATTCAACCCACTAAAATATGGGCGGATTGGGTGAGTCGACAAAATATGGGCTCATTTTACGAGCACTAGTTATAGGTAACTACTAATTATTGTATTTGCTAGATATTTCTTGCACACTTCCTCGTTGCATTAGATTCTAATTTTATTATGACGATAATGGGATTTCAATTATTTATGTATGGTCAAGTTTGGTCATAACTACTAGTGCTACTAGTTTGTTTGTAATTTACATCATAAGTCTTAGATCTTTTAATTAATAAAGTTAACTAGATCTTTAACCTCAGAAGATATCATCCTTCTCGGAGTTGAATATTATTCAAATACTACCAAGAAAACTACAAACATAGAATGTGATTGACCCAAATTTAATTTGAATCGTTCCCAAGGACTAAAGCGCGAAAAAAAGAAAGGCCAGGTCAACCACAAAAATTATTTTGCGTCATGATTACATAGTATAAAGAAGAGTGATAAGTTATGTGCCTCTTTATATTTTGATGATTTAACTAACTTTACGATAAAAACCAGATTGGGAACCTATTATACATTCTCAAGGTGCCAAAGCACAACAAATCTCAAGTCGGGCACAAGTTCCAACAATTAGAGTCAAAGAGACGATAGAGGGAACATGTGGACATCAGTTCCCTTGCTGACTGTACCAGTCAACTCCTCACAGCTGTAAAGTCGCTGCAACTATTCCTCTACATACACGCAACAGTACAAATAGTGCACCAGTCACTATATTGGGAATGCCTTGTACCAGATATTTATTTGCATCATCCAAGTGACATCACTTAGATATTATTAACATGAAGAAAAGGAAAAACATACACTAGCACATCCGAAAAATTGATTAAGTTTTCTCTCAAGTGTGTTGCCATCTTACAAGTAACTTCCAGGCTTCAAGAATAAAGAACAACGGAACGAAGGACCAGTTTTTAGCCCTGTGTTATCAATATGTCCTAAGTTGTGTTGTGCTTTTTTTAGAATGAACTACCTTTAATTCCTACTTAGCTTAGCTAGAAGCATTGTGTAGGAAAACTATTTGTAAAACCATAAACCTTGTATTTGTATTTTGGCTAGAGTTAATCGAGTTGTGAGCTTTGTAATAGAATTATTACAAACAGGCTTGTAATAGAGTTATTACAAGTAAGTGAGGGATTAAGAGTTTAATTCCTAGGTTATAATATGTTGTAATCTAAAGTTGCTCGGTTAGTGAAGTTGAAATCTTACGAGTGTAGGTCGTGGTTTTTAATCCCGTGAGCTGGAAGTTTTCCACGTAAAACTCTATTTTGTCGTTACTTATCTCCTATTGTGTGTATTTTGTGGGAACTAATAGAGAACCATGTTCTCTATACAATTTGGTGGACCCTAAGTTTCCATCAATTGGTATCAGAGCGTGTTCTTTCTATCAGGATAACACCTAGAAAGGATCCAAATGGTTGCTCCACCAAACTTTGAAGAAGGTCAATCAAACTACAGACCACCAAGATTAAATGGACGGTGCTACGGATGGTGGAAGACAAGGATGCATGACTTTATCATGGCTGAAGATTCAGAACTCTTGGATGTTATCTGTGATAGACCCTTCGTCCCTATGAAAACTGTTAGCGAGCCAGCAGTGATAGTTCCAAAGACAAGGAAGGAGTACAAAGATGCTGACTGAAAAGCCATAGAGAAGAA